ACTGGAATATATTGGAAACTGTTTATATATTTGATACTAAGAAATAATGCTTACATCCTAAACTAGGGGTTTTTTGTGAGTGTTCTCATTGACTTTTTTGTTTAACTGTCCTTTGGAGAGCTGGCTGTGTATATACGAATACAAACCAAACGTTCTTGAAGTTTACTTTTTAAATAGCAAAGTTTTGACATTAGTTTGAAATGAGAGCAACCTTTTGAACAGAGAGCATATGCTTTGCATTTTAGGTTCTGAATCTGATTACACCACTAATCTATTTTTCAGAAATGGATGGAGCACATTTTTTAAATTAAAACTTAAAAGAAAATTAAAAGGGATATTTTAAAAACATAATAGAGACAGTTGGAATTACTCACTTTCAGACTCCAAAAAAAGCCCTAGTTCTGTATCTACAGTCTTGACCTGAGAAATGTAACTGTTGATGTTAAATTTTAATGCACAGGAGGAAAACTGGAAAATTAAATGGTCTCACTGGCAGAATTTTCCTATCCTAAATTTGGTCATTGATTTCTTCTGACTACAGAAAAAATTATAAATTTGCTTCCAGACAAAAAATGTCTTTCCTTACCTAGGAGAACTAGACATAGCAGCGGTTACTGTCCTACCTGGAATATTGATAAAATGAGGGGAAATTCAAAACGTAGTTCTAGTCCTGGTTTGATTGACATACTTTTGTAAAGTGGCAATTTATAATGATATTACGCAACTCTGCAGATCACTGAGTAGATCAAATTGTTGCTATTACTTTTGTCTATAAAAATTGCCCTATGCACTGAACAAGCCATGCTGTTTCACATCTAAAACTCAAAAGCTCAACATAAAAAATTAGTATTTGTTTCTCCAGTTTGTCACTAATCTCTAAATGCAAGTCTCTATATAAAAATTACAGAAAAATAAGCATTCGTATTGCTACAGGGATTTTTTTTCCATTTCTTTGGCATTGTAGACCAACACGAGCAGTGGAATGAATTGTTTTTTCCTGGTTTTGTGCATGACAAGTAGAATTGTTTATGAACGTCAAAAATATTTTGCTGTTATAACTATGTCTGTTTTGTCTTGTAAAAAATCCTGCTCCTGGCAGACATATGTGGACATTAAAAAGCCCCAGTATAGCTAGAGCAGTACTAGCAGTCTAACCCTCTTGACATTCTGTTTCATTCTTAGACCTCTTTGACCATTGAAAGTTTTCTCTGCCCATTTTTGTTTGCTGCAACAACATATCTTGGGTGTAGAAAAATCCTAAATTCCAGTTAAAACAGTATAACTGAAGGCCTAATTTTGATATTTGAAACACTTAATATTGGACCAGCAAAAAAAAGAGTCCTAGTGCAATATTAAAATGCAGAATAATTTTGCAGGGTAGATATTTTATAAGCTGAAGCATTTTAAGGGTTCAGTTTAAAAGGGTTGAATTCAATTAAAAACACCTACCAATTTGGTGTTGAAATGAATTTTAGCCAGCCAGCACCATTTTACATTGTAACTTAACCAAAAGGACTCCTTAGCGTGAACACAACCACATGGAGAGGTTTTTCTCTTTCTGTATTTTACACTTCATGTTTGTGTTAATTAACACATAATAGAGCCACTATTAGAAATAGATAGGGAAGTTGTTTGCATCATATATTTTCGGGTGCCTAACTTCGGGTACTTAGATTGGAGCCTGAATTCATTCAGGCTGGAGCCAAACTTAGGTATTCTGAGCTGTGTCCCCCCTCCCCAGCGGCACCTACTTTCACTCTCTGCAGCAGGATTCTGTGAAGTGTGAATAATTCCCTGCTATTTCTAAGAGACGTGTTAACTAGTCACAAATGGCTTCATGTCAAAACACATGTATTGCACTCACCAACTCATCCACTGGTCTTGCTTTGATCTCCTCTAGGGTAGGCTCCAGCTAACGTACCCACACTTAAATCCTGACTATGGAAACTTCTGTATGGTTCTTCTGTACCATCTGGATCTGGTGATCTGCAGAATGGGTGTAATACTATTAGTGTATTGAATACACTGCATGGCTTCATGTCAAAACACATGTATTGCACTCACCAACTCATCCACTGGTCTTGCTTTGATCTCCTCTAGGGTAGGCTCCAGCTAACGTACCCACACTTAAATCCTGACTATGGAAACTTCTGTATGGTTCTTCTGTACCATCTGGATCTGGTGATCTGCAGAATGGGTGTAATACTATTAGTGTATTGAATACACTGCTATCTATATTCTCCAATTAACTATTCTACTATGAGCATGAGGTGTACTGAAAGGTGGTAGGGAACAGGGGAAGAAAAAAGGTATCCCAGCAGTATGCTACGGAAGTCATTCTCCTTTCAGCTTTGAGTAGGGGTTTTTTAATTTCAGGGTATGTTCACTGTTACACAAATGGCAACCACATGTAACAATATTAGTGTTCAACCTGATTAATTCCTGTGCTTTTAATCTTTTACTTTGAGGGCTGTAGCTCACCAAACTATTTAATGTTGTTGTACGGTGATGTATATGCTGACATTCCAGTAATCAGTTGTCCATAGGAATTGTTGCAAATAACTATTAGTTCACTAGGCTTATACTTTATGTAGTAATATTTTAGAGCAGCTCATATAGTATAATTCATCAGACAATTATTCTGTGTCTCTTAAGATTTTTAGTCAGTTAAGTAGTAAGTATTACAAAATTAGATTTAGTCTTAATACACATGACTCATAAACATTCAAAGGTGGATACATGGGGGTTTTGGCTTACAAATGTAAAATGTCAGCAAAAAATTAAATAATACAACTTCAGTAGAAGAGACCATGGCATAATTAATAAAATAATATTCAACCCTCATTTAAAGAAAGCAGTGAAATGGCAAGGCTGCTTGGAGCAGATTCAGTTCACTGAGGTGAAAAAAAACCCCATTTATTCCTGTATCTTTTTTTGTGACAATTAAAAGGCCTGTGTCCTAATCAAAATCAGATTTACAAAGTGGTTCTAAATTCTTCATACAGAATAACTCTAGTCTCTGTAGATAACCTCTGTTTATGCTGCCTTTGCATGTTTTAATGCTGTCCAGAGTGATATCAGTAGCTCTCCTGGAACATACACATACAGTGCGAGTTCAGGGTGATGCATGTTTGGTAATGATTTCACCAGCAAGCTAGCGTGCTGTGGTCTGTACTTCAAGGGGAACCTACATGTATGTGTCATACCTAAGTGCACATTTCAAAGCAGACTTCTATTGTTGCATTCATTAATAGTTTTGCAGAAATGCACTGCACTTCTTAAAAGGAGAGGGTGGCTTGAAGTAGAGGAAATAACATCTGAACTTGGCTAGCAACCTGCTAAAGTATGTCTTTTTGCCTGCTCTTGATCACCTGTCTGTCCCTTTCTACCCTTTCTGTAGTGTTAAATGGGATTACCAATAGCTTGAATTCAAGCAACCCTTGAAGCATGAACAAATAATGTTATTTTTTTATTGCATACATTTTCTCCAGCGGCAAAAGATTTTTTTTTTTTTTTTTCATTTCAAAAGAAAATTGTCTTGGACTTAGCAATGAGAATTTAAGGAGCTTCTAAACTTCTGAAGTTATTGAGAGAAAATGCAGACTAGTGTTGAACTGTGCTTGACTGCCTCGCAGCCACATTTTCAAGACCTATGTAAGCTGGTTTGGAACATCTGTTCCATTGACTTCAAACTGGAAGCCTTACCAACAGCTTGGCTAAAACGTTTCCAATTCCTTAATGTTCAAGGTTTAGTTCCCTGGGAAAAAACCTCTGTGTTTGAATATGTATTGAATCTAGTAGAAATCAGATGTGGATGGCCATTGACAGTTTTTTCCAATACACAGTAGTATTTTTAACAAGCTTTTTTTTTTTGGGGGGGGGGGACACCTGTTTAGCTTAAATTCCAATTACTAGAACTCATTTAAGGAACAAGAACACCCCTACTGGCATTTGAAGACTACAAAGAGGGCGGGAAAAAAAGACAAAAAAGACCCAGCAATCAATAAATCTAAGAAATTTAACCAAAATCACCAAAATCTTCATAATTGTGATTTGCATGCACCCTTGTCAATAGTAGCTACTGGTAGTTTCATTTGCTGATTTCTACATGAGCATTACAAGCTGTAGTTGCCAAAACACTTTTCTAATATCAAAAGCCTCAGTGTCTCAGATCCAGAAGGCCTACTTGAGCATGCAGTTGCAAGAATGAAACACAAATCATTATCTGTGCAAAGAACTGAGAGGATTAAAGCATATTTTGGACAAACTGGGCAGGGAGGGGCAACTGACTTAGAGTAGGATTACTTCCCCAATTCATTTTGCTGCACAACCTGCAAAAATCGTGCCAGCAAAAAAGACAGGTCTCTCAAGAGGGTTTTTGTGTTGTACATTAAATGGTCACCAGCTAAAGTACAACTGTTGTTCAGGTTCTGTTATGCACAGTAACATAAATAATTTCTCACTTCTTCAAGTGAGAAGATTCACTTCATCAAGTGAATCTACTTGATTCACTCTTTATTCCTTGATTAGAAAGTACAAGGAGAAACCATCAGATCAGCATAAAACCACAAGCAGGCAGTTGTCCCTTTTGATGAAACTGCTAGAGATGTAGATTGACATAAAGCCACAGCAGGTAGTTGTCCCCTTTCATGAAACTACTAGAGATGTAGATTGACACTGCACATTTGACTGGTCTTTAAAAATGTTCAAATCATGATTGTGGCAGAATGAAAAGTGAGCAGTGGTCTGAACACAGCATGACCTATACCTTCAAAAACAGGACACAGTGAAGTATTGTCTGTATATTGGCTATGTTCTGAGCCGTTCAGTCAGGGAAATTAATTTCCCTTTCATGTGCATCTGACCTGTAGAGCATTGGTATCAACTTCATAACTGAACACCAACCTCCTTAAATCAGGCTGGGGATTTAATTAACAGTGCCACCATCTTTCTTCTCGAAATAAACGTGACTATATTTGCTGTTTCCTGTTCTTCTTCAGGGCATTTGATGTGGAACTTCTTTATATAGCTCAGCGCTTGAGAATACCTATAGCAGAAGTTGCTGTCAACTGGACTGAAATTGAAGGTAGGGGAATTGTTTATATTCTTGTAAGATTCCTTATGTGTCAATCCAGGATAAAATATCAGAGGGTCTTCCCATATTTTACCCAGTTTTGATAACACACAGCCTTCTTTCCATACAAATTTTGAATTTCATGTCCTTGCCAGCCTTCTGCCGTGGCATGGTCCAGGAAGAGTAGGTGAAAGGGTAGCAAGGGAGAGAAACTCTTCACTCTCACTGGAGACAAAAGTAGGTAGTTATACTGCTAGGACAAAGCACTACTTTGGCATGTCCTCTTGCTGTAACATGTTAATAAAAATATTGCAATTGTAAAACACTCTGCAGGAAGTCTGACCATCATTGTTTATTGATTCAACTCCATTTCACTGTGTCTTGCCTTCCAAAATTCTCAGCCCACCTATTAAGGCCTCCTCTAGGGCACCCTGTCTTCTTAAGATGTGATGTTCTTTCGGACCTGCAGGGAGGTCTCTCTTACTGGGTTACTGGAAAGTATAGCTCCATACATACTTCTTCATAGCAAAGCCAGCTTAAGAGGTACTGCTTGCTTCTGTTCACTTCCTCCCTCCCATCAAATGCAGTTCCTTCTTTTTTTCCCTTTCGTGTTTTTTTCTTTTTTTAATCTGAATCTCTTCTCCTCAACACAACCCCTGAACAACAGAAAGTATAATGAACTGCAACGGTGATGAAGGATGCAAGTAGAGAACATCCTAAGCCAACTTTACTAGAAAAGAAATGTTTTCTTTCAATGCAGTTCCACATGTATATTGCACCTAACACAAATGTTAGCAGAGATGGAGGAGGGCTTGGTTTCATAGTGTGGGTTCCTTACCTTGCCTGAAGATTGGCATGTTCATATTATTGCTGTAAGACAATGTGGCGGTCCTCTTCTCCAGAGTCGCTGAGAAATCATTTGCTTAATTATTGATGTTCAGGTTCCTATTTACTTGAACAAAGCCTTGTCACAAAGAAGACTATGGATCTTGAGACATACATGGAATTACTGTACTAGAATCTCGCACCTATGGTATAATGTAATTACTATAAAGCAGTAACTTTCACAATATAAATTTTTATTAATGTTAAGGTCTAGGTTGTGGGGCTGAATGTGCTGAGAATGCAGAGGTTCATGACTACTTAAATGTGTGTCTTGCCAACGCTCATTTTTTCTAACACCGTCCTTCTGATTTTCTTCTTCATTAATCACAGGTTCTAAGTTAGTTCCCTTTTGGAGCTGGCTGCAGATGGGAAGGGATCTTCTTTTTATACGACTGCGATATATGACTGGTGCCTGGCAGCTTGAAACAAGAAAATGTAATTAGGTTATTTACATTTTCCAAATATATTATTATACTTAATGGAACATGAGAACAGTTTCAGTCAAGTGGTGATGAAAGCTGAGGTAATTCTTCATTGCTCCTGTTGTATGTTTCATTTTTGCAGCATGTATATGTTTTATAAGATTGTCAGCAGAGAATTTGTACAATGTTTTGAAAAGAGAAAGCATTTCCAAAAAGATTTTCTTATCTGGTAATCAGGTTTTTATTTTATTAGATAGTAGCTTTAATATGTCTTATAAATTCAAATAAATATATCTGCTTTTGTCTCACCATACATTTGGAATTTCCTTATACATATTGAAAACAGGCACTGTATTCTACATTGTGCAATATTGTGTTGTGAATGACCACAACCATTTGTTTCTGTAGCATCTGGAAATACGTGGCCGTATTGCTACTTGGAATTATCAATCATGGTTCACGCTGATGCATGTTTAGATTCAATGTTATGGGAAACATTAATGGGTTTTACTGAGTTATAACAGTCATGTTCATAAGGCTGTTCTAAGACCTTTCAGTAGTCTCTTGACGTTCCAAATGTTTTTGTCTGAAGCTGAAATAGTTTGTCTGAGATCAAACTGCAGATCGTCTCCAGACTGTAAAAGGTCCAAGAGAAAGCACATTTCGTTTTAAAATGTTGTCTTTATGTTTTGTTCACATGTACTAATTAATACTGCATGCTCAAGGCTACGAGTCCTTGGCATCTACAAATCTGTAGTGAAAAGGGTATGGAAAGCTAATTCAGAGCATACAAAAATGAAACCCAATGTACATTGGGGGCCTGTGCATTAGCAATGCTAATTTGAAGTTCTCGTGCTTCAAATGAGATCAGAGAGGGAGGGGAGGGGTCTTGAGTCTTTCTTAGTAATGTCATACTCTGTTACAGTACACAAGTTTCAATAGCGCTTTCAAAACAGTTGTGGATTGCCAACAAACTAAGCCAGTCTTTCTTTCGGAAACATGTACAAATTTGAACAGATTTAAAGAATGAACGGTATATGGCTGTACTTTCACATATGATTTCACTGGTGGTTTTTCTTATTCCTTCTGCAATATTGAGTTGAGTTTTGCTCCTGTTAGGGTTACCTCAGTTTTCTATAAATTGAAGTGTTGGAATAAATTCTCAAAAAGTATCTTCAGTTTGATTTCGCAGGCTTTATTGTCTTGCCTAGTCCACATACATCTCTATCACTTCTGCAGAATCAATCACATAAGTCCTCGTTGCCATTGCTAGAATAAAATACCAGTTTCTCAGTTTTTGTAAAGTGAATTTCCCTGACCAAACCTGGACAATGATAGCTCTGCCTATAATTAATTAAAGTTGCCAGCCAGTTCTCAAAAGCAGATTCCTAAAATTTTCCTCATGTCTTACCTTAAAATTGAGCTTATTAGAAATTTTAACCAAAATAGTTCACCTTTTTCAAATGATGAGGCTTAGGTCATGCATTATTTTCTGCTTGATAAATAAACATCTGGTGACGTCTTCTTTAAAAAAATTCTGCTTTTGAAGCCAAAGCTTGGAAGGGGAGTGCTAAATTTACAATATTTTTTTAATTAATTCGTGCATTTTCTACAAAGTTTTTTCAAAACTCCAGTAACTCTCTCCTTATTGAGCAGTCTCCTTTAACAAGCATGCGTATGTCAGTCCAACAAAATACTTGATATCTTCCACCTCAGAGATGCAGAAGTAAGGCTAGCCTTGTGGGGTTGGATGCTAGAACTTGTTGGCGGGGAATTCTCTTATGCTTTCAGTGGATTTGAGCCATGGATAAAGGTCACTACACATCTTCATAGTCCAGAGTCTGCTTTCTGGCTCTGAGGTTGATAGACATGGCACTGGTCACATCCATATCCCTACGTCTCCCTTCTCAGCTGCCTTTCAAAGCAGGCTTGCTACATCTAAACTGGCTGTTGGAGATAGTCCTTGACCTGCACTGACTGCCACACTGTGCCCACAAATATTTTGAGAGCAGGGATAGGCATCTGTGGGACACCTAACACAGTGTAGTTTACTTGTATAGGTGTAGCCTGACATATTCTGTTGTAGTGGGGATAAAAGCTGAACTGGGATGAAAAAACAAAAGGAGTAAACTGGGACAGAAGGAGAATGGGGAGAAACAGAAAAGAGACTTGATCTGGGGCTGAGATTGCAAGCTAGAGAGTGAAATGGAAGATGGAAAGTACTGAGACTGCATGAGGAATGGAGGTGGAACAGCAATGGACTCAGCAAAGAGACTGGAACAAGGGAATGGGGAAGGAGACAGATCGGTTAAGGATGGAAAAAAGGAAATATTGCTAATGAGGGAAAGGGAAGCTGAAGGGGCTCACTTAAGCCAAGTCCTCCACAAGAATGGGGTTAGGACAGAAATTGTCTAAAACAAGTTGGGACTGAGGATATAGTGATATTCAGAGTCTGGGCTGGAACCCAGGAGCCCTTTATCAGTGATTCTCAGTCATTTTTTAACCTCTACAAAATCCTTTGGCAAATCATATCTCATCTTCTTTCTGTGCCGGTCCATAAAGAGAGTAACTGGCTACCGGTATCAGTTATTCTTCCAGCCCTGGTCACTGAAATCTGCAGCAGATCTACAGGCTGCAATTGTGAACCGCATGAAGGAGCAATGGAATCTTTCACAAATAAGTGGGGGATTATACAAACCAAGTTTCAATGAAAGCTCACTTTTCAGAGTTAGAAAGCCAGGTATGAAGAGCATAGGAAACAAAAGTAGCCTTTCTGACTCGTTCCCACATTGTGTATATGTGCTATGAGAGGAGATACTTGCTTATGTAAGGACTACTTTTCCTAAAAGACATATTTTTAGTGTATGGGATTGATTCAGGAATCAGTGAGTTATATGGCAAAGGCAACTTTATTGATTGGCCTTCTGTTTAGAAAATGCAAGTTTGGATAGAGTATAAGTGAGAGAAAGGATTAAAGAGAGGCAATATATTCTCCTTCATCAGATAAAATAAGACAGACATACGGTTCTTTTCCCTCTTGCCCCAATGGTCAACACATTCAAAGAGGGTGTTAGAGATACAGATTCAGTTCCTCTGTTGTTTAAGCCCACATCCAAGCCCACATCTTAAGAAATGGTGAAGAATTCCCAAATCCTTCTGCAAATCACTTCAGAGGGATATTTGGACAGTTCAGTGATGCAGATATGGCACTATCCCTACCTTTCAGCAGATCAGAGTTAAAAAAATTGAGTTCTAAGTCTTCCATAGTGTGTTCTAGGGTTGAAACATTATTGATTGCTTTTCTGAGAACTGTTTTCCTTTGTGTGGAATGGTCTCAGGTCTGGAACAGTTACCTGCACTTGTTGAACCAACTGCTTCAAGCTTTCTCTGAAGCAGGGGCAGCAAAGGAGACTTACTTTAGCTGAGAAGGGTGGTTGGCTTTGCCTTCTGTCACTCATGTAGTCATCAGAAGTCTTCTGGGTACCATACTCAACTCCTTGTATTTGCAGATTATGAGATTCAAGACACACAGGCTGTCACAGGAGACAAGGACTCCACCAGGCACATGCTCTAACAGAAGGTTAGACTCACGCTTGGTTTTAGGTTTTTGCTCACAGTCAGTTATCAGCATTCCTCCAAATGTGTTTTGGGCAGTGTAAACATCACACTCTTGAAGCAAAGGTGCACCTGCTTTGTGGATCCCAACAAAGAGCAAACAAAAGATTAGCAAAAAATGGCTTTTCACTGTCAAAACTAAAGTGCGTAAGAGCCTGTCCCTAGTGAAATTCAGTACACCTGAGAAACTTCAAAGATTTTAAAGTCTGTGGCTTTTACATGTCTTCAGGTCAGGCCACAGCAGAGCAAAGATTTTGAACACTGACAAATTTCAGTTTGGGGTCAGAGGTCTTAAGTCCACTTGTCTTGAGCCCTATATCAATATGTAGGTCAACATTAACTTAATCCAAGTATTTACTGAATGCAGAGAAAAGGAAGCACAATGACAAGTATGCACTGAAAACTATTAAGCAAATGTGAACGATAATAAGATACTTTGAAAAGCAGCTACGCAGTGGCTATGAATTATTTAAATAAGAGATGACCACATGGCAGAGACCCCAAATTACAGTATTAATTACACAAGCAGCAGTCTCTGACACCAGAACATTTTACACTAACCTAAAAGTTTTATAGAAATGTCAGAGGCAGAGTGATGGGAAATACAACTCATTTAGAATTGCCAGAAATCAGATCCTTTAGAAGTTAAGAACACATCTAATAGAAATCCATAGCTGTCAGAGATCAGAGATGTCCTGTCTGAAATATGTATCCTAACAGTCATTCACATCCTGATCTTCCCCAAGCTTTTACCTTAAAAGGAAGAGTTAGCTGTTCTTGTTAAATCCATAAATTTGTAGATACTTACTAGTTACTCAGTTTAGTTTATTTCCAAGTTTATTTAATTTATTACCATTATTTTTCTGTGTAGCTATCTGAACCAATGGGAAGTTTGGAATCATGTATCTTGATTTTCCCATGAAGATCACATCAGGTGATAAGAGATTTTGGACCAGACCCAATATGTGACTTCAGAAGTTAAGCATCAGGTTCCCGGGTGCCTACGTTTAAGGTTATTGGAATCCAGAATCCTGAACGAGGCACATTTTACCTGTGTGAAATACTACACGTCCCAGGCCAACCTGCTGGCTTTAGTCAGAGTTATCTAAGATCAGCCTGTTCAGCATGCGGGGAGATCTCTGTCTGCTCATTGCACAGCCCAGAACCCTTTTCTTAGGGTAGGAAGGAGTAGAAGCCTTTCAGGAAACAGGTCTAAGCTTTCCCTTAGCAAAGCAGGAGCCTGCTTACTAGTCTACCGATTCAAATCTGTATCTAAGAAATGGGAGGCCGAGAGTAGATTCCCACACTGGAGGGAGATCAAACCTGTATGTCCCATGGGGTGTTCTCTGACTGCTTTCTATTTAAGCTGTTCCACTGTGCACTGATGTGCGTACAGCCTAATAGTG